AGGCAAATGGGAAAGTGATGTGGGTATAATAGTTTCTGAGGACTGGGAGGCCTTGTGCAGTCAGCCCTCAAAGGTTCTGGTATCTAACTCCTTTTGGGAGAGACAATTTAAGATCTTGAATAGACTATATATTACCCCTTAGGCCAGACACAGGATGAATCCAATGCTATCAGAACTCTGTATTAAATGTCAATCTGCTGTTGGATCCTTTATTCACTGCTTGTGGACTTGCCCCTATATTCAACAGTTCTGGGGTGCAATAGCTCAACAGTTTGATATCATTTTTAAGCGCAGTTTGCTTCTGAGCGCAAGGACTTGCCTATTGGGACTGACTGAGCAGCTTCCTGCTGACATTCGTAACAACTGCCTTTTACATATTTTACTTCACTGTCCACCGAGTGTCCCACGTCCGCTGATGTCGCTACGTCCACCGAGGGTCCCACGTCCACCGAGGGTCCCACGTCCGCTGACGTCGCTACGTCCACCGAGGGTCCCAGGTCCGCCGACGTCGCTACGTCCACCGAGGGTCCCACGTCCGCTGACATCGCTACGTCCACCGAGGGTCCCACGCCTCCAGAGGGTCCTACGCCCACCGAGGGCTCAGTTCCTGCCACCGCCGCAGAAGAGTCAGTTCCTGCCGCCGCAGAAGAGTCAGTTCCTGCCGCCGCTGCCGCAGAAGAGTCAGTTCCTGCCGCCGCCGCAGGAGTCAGTTCCTGCCGCCGCCGCAGAAGAGTCAGTTCCTGCCGCTGCCGCCGCAGAAGAGTCAGTTCCTGCCGCCGCAGAAGAGTCAGTTCCTGCCGCCGCAGCAGAAGAGTCAGTTCCTGCCGCCGCAGCAGAAGAGTCAGTTCCTGCTGCCGCAGCAGAAGAGTCAGTTCCTGCCGCCGCAGCACCCAGGGCCTCTCCGTCATCTGCTGCAGAGCCACAGGCCTCTCCGTCGTCTACTGCAGGGCTCCAGGCCTCTCCGTCATCTGCTGCAGAGCCACAGGCCTCTCCGTCGTCTGCTGCAGAGCTCCAGGCCTCTCCGTCGTCTGCTGCAGACCTTCAGGCCTCTCCGTCGTCTGCTGCAGACCTCCAGGCCTCTCCGTCAGCAGCAGCATCTCCCCAGGCCTCTCCGACAGCAGCAGCAACTCCCCAGGCCTCGTCGCCTGCTGCCAACTCCAAGGTTCCCTCGTCGCCTGCTGCCAACTCCAAGGTCCCCTCGTCACCTGCTGCCAACTCCAAGGTCCCCTCGTCGCCTGCTGCCAACTCCAAGGTCCCCTCGTCGCCTGCTGCCAACCCCCAGGACTCTATGTCGCACGCTGCAGCTCCCCAGGCTCACACGCCGTCCGCTGCAGCTCCCCAGGACTCTATGACGCATGCTGCGTACTTCAAGGTTTCTACGCCGCCAGACGCGGCCTCCTCGTCGTCTACGCCACCTGACGCGGCCTCCTCGTCGTCTACGCTGCCTGACGCGGCCTCCTCGTCGTCTACGCCGCCTGACGCGGCCTCCTCGTCGTCTACGCTGCCTGACGCGGCCTCCTCGTCGTCTACGCGGCCTGACGCGGCCTGACGCGGCCTGACGTGGCCTGACGCGGCCTGACGCAGCCTCCTCGTCGTCTACGCGGCCTGACGCGGCCTGACGCGGCCTGACGCGGCCTGACGCAGCCTCCTCGTCGTCTACGCCGCCTGACGCGGCCTCCTCGTCGTCTACGCCACCTGACGCGGCCTCCTCGTCGTCTACGTCGCCTGACGCGGCCTCCAAGGGTTCTCCGCCACCAGACGCGGCCTCCAAATCGTCATCGCCACCAGACGCGGCCTCCAAGTCGTCATCGCCGCCTGCTGCGGCCTCCAAGTCGTCATCGCCGCTTGCCGCGGCCTCCAAGGTCCTATGTGTTGGACGGCCTCCCGGCCGCCCCCCTGAACGCTGGTCCCGTGATGGACGGCCTCCCGGCCGCCCCCCGGAATGCTGGTCCCGTGATGAACGGCCTCCTGGCCGCCCCCCTGAACGCGGGTCCCGTGATGGACGGCCTCCCGGCCGACCCCCTGAACAATGATTCTAGGGACTGTCTCTTGACCATTCAGATCTTTTGTTTTTTTCTTGCTTGTGTTTTTCCTTAGTTTTTGTCAGGTCCTTGTGTTCTTCCTTGTGTTTCCTCTGGCCCTCCACCCTTGCAGTGCCGCCCTCCACCCGCCCAAGTCCTTCGGGAGGGGTTTTTTTTTGGGGACGCCTGGAGGCGTCCTTGAGGGGGGGGGGGGGTACTGTAAGGATGGTACCATTTGCTGGCTCTGTTTGTGTCTGTGTTTCCCTAGTGTCTCCTCTTCAGTTTAATTGGTGCCACCCTTGTCTCGTCACAGCTGTTTGTAATCACGTCTCGTCTTGTCCCTGTATTTAAGCCATTTGTTCTGTCTTGTTCCTCGTCGGGTCGTATTCGTTGGGTCTCTGTGTTCTCCTGCGTTCTCCTGAGTCTCCCCTGAGCTTCCTGAGTCCTTCCTGAGTTTCCCTCTGAGCCTTCTGTTTTCACGTAAGTTTTGCTGCCACGTCAGCTGTTTATTTTGTTCCTTATTCATCATTAAAATATTTATTTTTGTAATCTGCCGAGTTGAGTCCTGTCTGCACAACTGGGTTCGTCCCTGACCACCAAATCCTGACACTTATGACCAATTAAAAAAAGGATTTTTAGAAATGTTGGCCAACTGAAAAATATGAACATGAAAAGTATGAACATGAAAAGTATGAGCATGTACAGCACTCAATACTTAACTGGGGCTCCAATTGCCTGGATTACTGCAGCAATGCGGCGTGACATGGAGTCGATCTGTCTGTGGCACTGCTCAGGTGTTATGAGAGCCCAAGTTGCTCTGATAGTGGCCTTCAGCTCTTCTGAATTGTTGGGTCTGATGTATCACATCTTCCTCTTCACAATACCACATAGATGTTATATGGGGTTAATGTCAGGTGAGTTTGCTGGCCAATTAAGAACAGGGATACCATGGTCCTTAAACCAGGTACTGGTAGCTTTGGCACTGTGTGCAGGTGCCAAGTCCTGTTGGAAAATGAAATCTGCATCTCCTTAAAGTTGGTCAGCAGCAGGAAGCATGAAGTGCTCTAAAACTTCCTGGTAGATGGTTGTTTTGACCTTGGATCTCAGAAAACACAGTGGACCAGCACTAGCAGATGACATGACCCCCAAACCATCACTGACTGTGGAAACTTGACACTGGACCTCAAGCAACATAGATTCTGTGCCTCTCCTCTCTTCCTCCAGACTCTGGGACCTTGATTTCCAAAGGAAATGCAAAATTTACTTTCATCAGAGAACATAACTTTGGATCACTCAGCAGCAGTCCCAGGTGAGATGCTTCTGATGCTGTCTCTTGTTCATGAGTGGCTTGACTCAAGGAATGCGACAGCTGAAACCCATATCTTGCATATGTCTGAGCATGGTGGTTCTTGAAGCACTGACTCCAGCTGCAGTCTACTCTTTGTGACTCTCCCCTACATTTTGGAATGGGTTTAGTTTCACCATCCTCTCCAGGGTGCAGTTATCCCTATTGCTTGTACTTTGTACACATTTTTCTACCACATCTTTTCCTTCCCTTCGCCTCTCTATTAATGTGCTTGGACACAGAGCTCTGTGAACAGCCAGACTCTTTAGCAAGTTATTAACTTCTATTTAACCAGGCAAATCCCATTGAGATGACAGATCTCTTTTGCAAAGGAGGCCTGGGCCTGAAGACAGCCAAACATGCATGTTTTTGGTCTGTGAGGGGAAACCGGAGTACCCAGAGAAAACCCATGCAAGTACGAGAAGAACATGCAAATTCCACACAGAAAAACCCCAGGTCCAACCGGGAATTGAACCCCGCACCTTCTGGCTGTGAGGTAACAGTGCTAACCACTGAGCCGTCATGCTGCCAAAATATAATGGCCTTTTGTGTCTTGCCCTCCTTGTGCAAGGTGTCAATTGTCGTCTTTCGTACAACTGTCAAGTCAGCAGTCTGACCCATGGTTGTGTAGCCTACAGAACTAGACTGAGAGACCATTTAAAGGCCTTTGCAGGTGTTTTGAGTTAATCTGATTAGAGTGTAGCACCAGGTGTCTTCAATTTTGAACCTTTTCACAATATTCTAATTTTCTGCGATACCGCTGAATTTGGGGTTTTCATTAGTTGTCAGTTATAATCATCAACATTTAAAGAAATAAATATTTGAAATATATCAGTCTGTATGTAATGAATGAATATAATATACAAATTTCACTTTTTGAACAGAATTACTGAAATAAATCCACTTTTTCATGATATTCTAATTTTATGACCACCACCTGTATTTGACGTCTCAATCTTCACCAAGAGCTGCAAACCGCTCTCCTGGAGGTATGTTAAAGATCTTAACAGGCATATTTGTTTGAGTTCACCAGGTCTGTCTGATAGCCCCTCTCACCACCAGGTGGTGCTCAATTCAGAGATCTGCTCCTTCCCTTTAGAATAGAGTCAAAACCATACCACAAATCTAACCAAACATTACATGTGTGTACTGGGCTGCATGTCATCTGCTGTGTTTGATAAGTATACTGTACTCCTAATCACATTACCACATGCTTATCATTTATTTTTATGCAGTAAATGTCAACCTAATAACAGCTTAAGTTTTCCCCGGCATTAAAGTTGACTTGCCATAGCAATGAAAGCACGAGTGAAACTAAAAATATCAGCAAAGCCTTTAGCAGCCCAGCAGAACATGGAAATGAGTAATTAAGATATTGTTTTGTCTGTTGTAAAAATAAAGCTGGAGTTGAACTGAGGATGCATCATTTAGTCTGTGGATCTTTGCATTTATTGTACTTTTGTGTATCTGCACTGTGTTGTATTGTTGATGCACGTTTTGTTTTATGTTGCACCGTTATCCTGGGGAACACTGTTTCATTTCAGTATGTATTTGTACATAGATGAAAGGACAATAAAACCTTTCTGACTGACTCTCACTAATAATAACTCAAAACCAAATGTTTGTGTTTTCAGGGCTCCTGCGTCCACCAGCAAATATCACGGCTTTGATTAAAGATGGAAACCTTTTTGTAGCATGGAATCTACCTAACACAAAAACAACTCGTAACCCTTACTGCTTTGATTACCAACTGGATGTAGGCGAGCAGGTAAGACATATCTTGTTTTATGTGTGGACAAACTGATCAAGTCCACACAGGTAAAACCTGCTAAAGTTTTCTGGTGACTCTTTTCAAATAGGAAACACCGACAGAGCTGACAGGTGTGCTGGAGTTTTCAAAGTCAAACGCAGCTCCCACCCACACCTACATGGTTAGAATGAGGACCAGAGTGAAGGATACATGCATTGGATGTGGACACTGGAGTGCGTGGAGTCCCACAGTCAGTGAGTGTCCTCTGTCCAAGTCTCGTCAGACATCAACTGAGCATTTTCTGACGCTCCCTGAAAGTCTTTTTCTCTCTGTACATTTGCAGTTGTGGAGCAGTCAGTCAACAGACTCGACCCCCTGGTGATTGTTGCAGTTTCATTTGGAATACCCATGATCCTCCTTGCTGTGCTGCTGCTGGTGCGCCATCAGAGGTAGTGTTTCTGGTTTGTGTGACATTCATGTCATTCCCCAATATGTTACGGAAGCACGATCCCTAGTGTACTTCCAGGTCGCATGGGTCACATTTGTTTATGAATAAAAATGTCTTAATTTACTTAGAATAGTATGTGCTCTATCTCCACCGATCTTCATGTAGCTAATTTATGTCACTCGTATTTCCGTTACAAATAATTGGTTAAGATGATATGCAACGCATTAGACCTGACCCCTATCCTGGGCTGAATGAGAAAAACCTTGCAAGATACAGAATGAATTATTTCCATGGTGAAACAGCACCGCTCAGTGGTGAAGCTACATCTCATTTTAACCATGACGTAAATATGTAAATGATTTTAACGGAAATAAAAGTGGCGTAAATAAGCAACGTGAAAATCGGCGGAGATAAAGCACATACTTTTCTAAGTAAATTAAGACAGTTCTTACTCATAAACGGAATTATACTAGTACATTTTTCTTAATCTAGCATATTCAAAGGCAATCCGTGCGACCCGGAAGTATTCCTTTTAATGCATGCGTAAATGAGCTACACTATGGATCGGGTTCCGTAACAGATTGGGGAATCACAATGCACGACAGCTGCTCTAAGGCTTCTCGCTTCTTTTTGTCCCC